TGCTGTTGCTGTTGCTGTTGCTGTTGTTGTTGGTGCTGTTGGTGCTGTTGGTGTTGTTGTTGGTGTTGTTGGTTTTGTTGTTGTTGTTGTTGCTGGTGTTGTTGTTGTTGTTGTCGCTGTTGCTGCTGCTGCTGTTGTTGTTCTTCTTCTTGTTGTTGTTGTTCTTCTCGAGGGGGTTGAAGGTTCTCAACAAAGTTGTCTGTGCAAGGTTCAATCGCCGAAGCCAATTGACAGTTTTCAAGCACTGTTTGCAATGTTTTGGAGTTGGTCAGGATTTCATTACAGGATGGAAAACAAGGCCCTCAACAAACTGCTGGAGTTGGCTGCTACTACTGTCGTTTATACTATGGCCCTTGTGGAGCATGAAAAAGCGCATTGCGTCAGTGGATAAATACAAGTCAAACAAAACACTAGTGGGGGCCACGCTTCTTGACATTGCAGGACTTCAAATCAAAAACACATTCCATGTCTGCTTTGTAGTGTCTGTTGTGTATTTGCTAAGAATGCTTTGGCTGAACTGACAGCAAAAGGCTAAACGATGTGTACGTTGTGCGCTTACGGGCTCAGGCACACCACGCAAGTATGTGAATCACGGCAGTGGACGCGTGTTTGCGCGCGTTGTTCATGCGCGCGTCTGTTTGTGAACCTGCGCGTGTGTGAATGTGTTTGTGTGCGCTTGTGAGTTTGCGTTCTTGTGTTTCTGTGTGTTTGTGCGTTTGTGTGTTTGTGTGTTTGTGTGTTTGTGTGTTTGTGCGCTTGTGTGTTTGGGCGTTTGTGTGCATGAGTTTGTGTGCTTGTGTTTGTGCGCTTGTGTGTTTGTATGTTTGTGCGTTTGTGCGTTTGTGCGTTCGTGCGTTTGTGTGTTTGCGCGCTTGTGTGTTTGTGGGTTTGTGTGTTTGTGCGCTTGTGTGTTTGTGTGTTTGGGTGTTTGTGTGATTGTGTGATTGTGCGCTTGTGTGTTTGTGTGTTTGTGTGTTTGTGTGTTTGTGCGTTTGTGCGTTTGTTCGTTTGCGCGCTTGTGTGTTTGCGCGCTTGTGTGTTTGTGTGGTTGTGTGCTTGTGCGTTTGTGTGTTTGTGTGTTTGTTTGTTTGTGTGTTTGCGCGCTTGTGCGTGTGTGCGTTTGTGCGCTTGTGTGTTTGTGCGCTTGTGTGTTTGAAAAGCGATAGCACCGAGCACTCCTGTTTTGGCTCTTGACAGCTGCGGTATGTTACATTTCTCGATTTGTGCCGCAGTGCGCCATGAACTCACGCAGGCCCTCCTGGACGCGTGAATGTCGCCACCTTCAGCGGCCACCTCACCGTTTCAAGCGCGCAAGGCCAAACTGTGCTCAGTCTTACTGCGCACCAAGCTCATGGAGCGCATCAGCTCTTGAATTCTCGGCCATGCCAGGTACTTAGCGCCAGCGTCCGCTTGGTTCACCTTTGTACCTGTCTTCTTCAAGTGGGTCTCTCGGTGTTGCACCTTCTGCTGCAACCACAAATAGCAACGGTGTATGCGCTTGGCCTTCCCATGGCCCTTCTTCGCCTTTCAAGAACCTAGCGAGCCTTTTCAGGCCCTCCCAGCTCCGTTCCGTCAAACTGGACATCTGCCTTGGCAATTCCTTGCGCGCATAAGGTCAATCCAAGGCTAGGTAGTTGAGCCTCATAACCAAACTGCGATATTGTCTGACACGCTCGCCCGTCAGAGGCTTTTCATCGCCCGTCTTCGTCCTGGCTGTTCCCGGGGTAGATACTGCGCGACCCATTCAAATTCAACTCGTTCAACGATATTTGCACATGCCGCGGGTCTGCCTGATACGTCGTTCCCGTCTGGGAATAGTGCACCAGGCGATTCAAGATCGAAACGTCCTTCACGTCGCCGGCGTCCGGACCCAGCATGCCACGGTACTTGATTTCATATCTCTCCTCAAGTTTCTGCTTCAGCCACAAAAGATCCGACTCCTCGCCCAACGAGGTAATGTCATCTCCATGAATTGAAGTGCGAATATCTCTCAATGAGTGATAGAAAAGCACTGGGCTGCCTACACCCGGAGCAAAACCGCATCCACTGAAGAAGTCAGTAAACTCAGCCTCCCAACAGGCTGCGGCATCACGAGTTCCGCACATCGCCCGACTCAGCCTTGCACATACCCAGGCCGATGTCGCTCCGGCGGCAGTCTCACATACATCAATCTCGCCATCTCGCCACTTTAGCACACCAATGCGCTCTCTTGATGTCAATATACATCACCTTCAGCTTCTTCCTGCTTGAACGTTGCAGCGACAAAAGAAACCTAATGCTTTCCAACGGCGGTGTAGCTGCAAATAAAGCTTCCTGCACCCATTGCGCGACAAACCTGCTGCGATAATTGGGGTTTCTCTCATCTTCCTTGTTTATGTCAATCCAACGTGTACCAGTCCAGCACCCGTCCAGCCCCAAGCTTCCTGAGTCTCCACCTCAGTCCGTACACAATACTTGTTGGCATAGGACAGCTCCTCTTGTCGCGCTTCCACCTTTGCAGCGTTCAGCAGCTTTCCAGAAACCTCATCCACGTAACTCTGCCAGTCGTCTTCTGCACTCATGTCCAAATCAGGCTCTTGGTTGACTGGCCCAAACTCCAGCGAATTGAGAGGATATTTGCGCGCCAACTGCTTTTTCAAACCTTTGATGATGATCTCGAGCGTATATTTGGGCTTGAGCTGCTCTGCCACTCATCGGTTGCACATGGCGGTGCATCTTCGGTCCGGCATGTAACATCGTCTTGATGTTCATGCGCTCCTTCGGCAATTTCTGCTAAGCACGGTCATCACGATCTTCAGGCCACTTCAGGCCCTCCCCAGTATCAGCATCAATTGTAACTCTGCAAAATAGCTGCGACCACGCTGGCCCTCCCAGACCCCTCGACCACAAAGCACCGGCGTATCCAATGAGCCAGGCAAACGCCGGATGGCTTGGCCCGAATACACTCTTGTAGTTTGTCTCTCCCATGGCTCTCGCCTGACCCTGAATCTTGCCCACCATAGACTCCGCCTGGGCATTGCTTTGACTCGCACCTTTTGTTGCATTCTCCGCGCTCAAGTGTGGAAGTTTCTTCTGCACCTCCGTCCTCAGCGCCACGATACTGGGCTCAATATCCGACTACAGCCTTCGGGCACCCCAAGGATTTTGCAGCATTTCTCCACAATCAAGGCATACACATTGACACATTCTTGATGCTTCCTGGTGCCATGGAATTGATGGATGACCCAACAAAGACCTGAGACGATTGCGAAGGAGACACCGCCGAAGGGGGCCGTTGCGGGCTGCGGAGCATAATTATTCTTTTTGTAAATCACACACACCAGATGCTTTGGTTTGCCGCCGTCCTTTCCACCTTTCTTGCCCTCATCTTCCCCCTTTGCCCAAACCGCCTTAGGGCCTTTTCCCTGACAGTCTTGAGCAAACGGTCCTCTGTACACATAGCACCCTTTGCTCCTTTTCCCGACTTTCCCAGTGAACCAATATCCATGGGAGTTGATGCAACGCCATGCATCAAATCCAAGAAAGCGAAGACCTCCTCGCAAATCTCTTGGTGCCGGGTGTACCGGATAACTGCGCCAGCGGCACGGATTCCGGCGGGCTGGTGATCTTCGTCAGATGAGCTCGCTGTCAGCCTCTCGTCAGTTGAACTGTACCTGCAAACCGAAATGTTCGGCCGCTTAGCTTGCCGCACCAAACTCCGGGCCTCACCAGCTGTGTACGTGGTAAGCATGGCAAACAGATTTGAATCTCACCAATGTCCTGTCCAAATGCGGAAACTGCGTCAAAAGTGTAAGCTTGTTCACCGATTTCCCAAGTTCCAGGAATCTGCGCATCTGTGACTGTGATAATCGTCACAGACCAGTCTGTGACTGTGGTTTGGGCAGGGTTTAGCGTCAACACCACCCTGCTGTGTTGCATAAGCCACACCCGGGTGGACACCTCTATTGAAACTCATACGAGGTCCTGCTTCTAGGCCATCCGTGGAATACATCTGCGGTTGCTGTCCACTTGCATTTGCTCCACCACTCGGCGAACTGCCGTCCCACCTCCATATCCGGCCCCCTGCACACCACCTGCTCCGTCTGCTGAGGCCTTGCTGGTGTCCCCGGCCCCGGTGTGCCTGGCGGCCCTGGTGGCCCACCTGATGATGGTGATGGACCTTGACCAGCTCCTCCTTGCCCCAGCGTGGTCAAATTTGCTGCCGTCTGTACCAACTGCGATCTGACCCACCTGCTCCTGAGCTGTCTGTCAGACTCCGCCAACCAATCTGCCGCCGCGTTCCCCACGTGCTGCCGAAACCTCAGCTCCTGCAGGCTCAGTTCACGCCCTCTATAAAAAGCACCGCTGCGTTCCTCTTCTCGCACCCGGTGCTCCGCTACCATGAAAAAGATAGCACCGAGCACTCCTGTTTTGGCTCTTGACAGCTGCGGTATGTTACACTTCTCGATTTGTGCTGCAGTGCACCATGAACTCATGCAGTGTTTGTGGGTTTGTGTGATTGTGTGCTTGTGTGTTTGTGTGTTTGGGTGTTTGGGTGTGTGTGTTTGTGTGTTTGCGTGCTTGTGTCGTTGTGTCTTTGTGTTTTGTGTCTTGTGTTGTGTGCCTTGTGTGTGTGTGTGTCTTTGCGTCCTTGTTTGTGTCTTTGTGTCTTTGTGTCTTGTGCTGCGTGCCTTGTGTGTGTGTGTGTGTTTGTTTTCACGTGTGTGCCTGTTTGTGTGTGTGTGTGTGGGTGGGTGGTTGTGTCTGTGCTTGTGCTTGGACGTTCCCCCCCCCCCCCCCCGTTTTTTTTTCTTTTTCTTTTTTTGTGTGTGTGTGTGTTCTTGTGTGTGTTTGTGTGTTTGTGTTGGTGTCACTGTGTATTGTTTTGTGTGTTTGTGTGCGTCTCTACGCTTGTCTCTCTTTCTGTGTCTGTGTGCATGTGCAGTGGTGTGTGGGAGCTTGTGCTTTGCCTGAGACTGAACGGATGTGATGTCTCTCTCAACGTGTGGCGTGTGCCACGCCTTCATGGCATGGGCAATCTCTTCGTCATAGAAAGACACTGCAAGGAGGCTCGTGAAGCAAGCCACCGACCAAAGAATTGCCCTTGGTTGCAAACATGGACTGCTCTGTGCATGCGCGTACGAGCGCGCATGCAAATCACAAAAAAATGCCAGTTGACTGCAACACATTTGTAATGTCTGACTGACTGACTCACTGAATAACTTCGCCAGGCTGGCCAGCTGGAAAGGGGCCAACACAGGCTAGTGACAACGCTGCTCCAAATATGGAAAGCATTATCATCGTCCTGAGACGCCGCAACGCACCTGTACAAAATTGGCAGCCTGCATCTTCAGGATTTCAAAACTTGCCACTGCTACTTTCTCCATCAGCCCAGCAGCGAATGCATCCTCACGACATGAATGACTGTCCTGGAGAGATCTTGCTCAACGCAGGCAATTAATTTCGGGATCAAAAACAAGCTGTTGCACACCTGGATCAAAATCATGTGTTTGTAAATTTATTACTATTCTTACCCACAGCCCCCGTGGTTTGCCGGCACCCCCTAATCCACCCTTGTCCAGCACGTGGTTCAAGTATGGCACCCTTTACTACTCAAGTAGCACAACTCGTGCGGCCATACCTGACACGTGGTGACCTGCGTTCTCTTCAGAACGTGGGGCCGTGGTACCACGAGGCGTGGGTAGCAGGAAGGTCTGGGGGTTTTTAGGGTTTAGGTTTAGGGTTTTTAGGGTTTAGGTTTTTAGGGCTTAGGTTTCTGCAAGCAGGTTTGGGTGTTTTTAGGGTTTCGGTTTAGGGTTTTAGGGTTTAGGTTTAGGGTTTTTAGGGTTTAGATTTAGGGTTTTTAGGGTAAGGTTAGGCTTAGGGTTGTAAGGTTTAGGTTTAGGGTGTTTAGGGTTTAGGTTTCTGGTTTTTAGGGTTGAGGTTTAGGGTTTTAGGGTTTAGATTTATGGTTTTTTGGGTTTAGGTTTGGGTTTTTGTGTCGGGGCGTTGGTTCGGGGCGCAGGCAAACCTCAGGGGCTGGCCGTATTCTTATTATCATGAACATTATATTTGCTAGTTTGTTTGTTCCTATTTAATATTTAATTTCTTTCTTTCATTTGTTATGTGTGTTTCAATTGTTCTTTGATTTGTCATTAAAAAAACAATGTCTCTGGGGTGCAAAAATGCTGATGCTAATGCATGCATTTTGCGCCAGCACCATCAACATTATTAGCATCGCGGGTGGGATTAATTTAAGGCTGATGAGTTTAGGGTTGGTTTGGGGTAGGCTTAGAGTTGGTTTTGGGGTCGTTTAGTTAGGCTTGGTTTCAGGTCGTTTTGGGTGGGTGTGTTGGTTGGGGCTGGGCCCCAGCACTGGTTTGGGCTGAGGGTTGGCTTTGGTGTGTTTGTGCGGGGGCTTAGGTGGGGTTGGGGGGTTCAGGGTTGGTCTAGAGCGTAGTGGGCTTGTGGGTTTAGGGGTGGTTTAGGTTGGGCGTAAGGGTGGCTTGGGTTTGGGATTTGTTTCGGGAGGGCTGAGGAAATAATCTTAGGCTTGTTCTTTAGGGTGGGTTTAGGGTGTGCTTAGCCTTGATTTAAGGCAGTGTTTGATCCCCTGAATCATGATTTGTTGATTCTATACGTATTTGCTTTTGATGCTCATCCCGCTCATGAGCACGTCCTGAGTAGAAGGACTGTTAGAGGCACCAAGTCTTTCCAGCAGCAGAAAACCTTACAGCAAGAGGCTTGGAAAAGCCAGAAATCAAAACACTCCCGAATCCCTGTCAAAAATCCCCAAACTGCCAAGTGTCTAATATAAAGAGTAGTATTCCAAGACCAAATACCAGCAGGCCAACGACACCTGCTCAGCCGTGCCGCGCGCCGCGGACACGTTGCAACAGCCTTGAATTTCTCAAAGCCCTGGCCTGGCATTGGCCACGAAGATGCCATCATCGCTGCTCCAGACGCCACTGCGCAGACTGGCCCTGACTGAGGTCAAATTGAACTAATTGCGCACAGGGCACTCACGGCACTCACGGCACTCACGGCACTCACGGCACTCACGGCACTCACGGCACTCAGAGACTTAGTCTCACTGCTTTCGCTTCGAGTCACCTCCATACAAGGCCCTAATCCTACCTTGTTCCGGCCTAGCAGGAGGCATGTCCAAACAACGCACTCCGCATTGTGCTGCGCAAAGAGCAGGAAGAGGACGCTGAAGCCCAAAGAGGCCAAGCCTGGACTAAGCTGATGCTGTCAAACAGGTTGCATCCGAGATGAAGGACGTGTTGAATATCAAGATCCGCATTGCGCAACGCGTGACAGTGATGTGCTCCAGTATAGTGGCTGCGTGTCAAAAGCGGAGATTCAAATGAGAAACATCGTGAAACCAGATTTAACGCATACCCGATGTCTTCAACAGCGGCAATGTGGGCAATGTGTTCCAATGCAATTTGCGAGTTGGATCCCTCTTCCATCTCCAGCGCCTGCTACGAAGAGGCTCAGCATGGCATGGACATAGCTGTCTTCCAGCCTCAAGAACATGATGGATTTCCACAAGTCCGGACTTGTCAAACGATGCCTAAACTTACAAATGCACACAAAATCTTCTGAGGTGCAAGTGCAGCACGGTGGTGTCCTTGCAACACAGGGCACAGGGTCTCATGAACATGATACTGCAACAACAAGAATAATATTTCGCACGAGAGTTCCTATGCACAATTGCAACAGCCAAAATGTCCTATCAACGTTGGCCCACTGCCATAGAAAATGCATGGACTCAATAGTCGTGGCGCGACGCCAAAAAGGAGCGAATTTCCGTTGCAATCAGGGCCACAAACCTTTGCGCCTCTTCGACTGATATTCTGGGGTGGGATTGCTCTCGCTTGAGCGCGGCGCGATTTTTTAGCATCGAAATCAACCCACTGCAGACTCCAGGTGCGTTGACTCGCTGTCGCTGTGGTGGGGTGCAGACTTTATAAGTGCTTTAAATCGCTGTCACTGTTGCGGTGGGCACATTGTGAAGATCGAATTCAACCCTCTGCCGACTTTCGGCGCGTTGAATTGCTGTCGCTGCGGCGGGGTGCACATTTTGAACATCGAACCGCGTTGAATCGCTGTCGCTGCGGTGGGGTGCGTTGAATCGCCGTCGCTGTTGTGGGGTGCACTTTCTGAACATCGAAATCAACCGCTGCGGACTTTAGGTGCTCGCTGTCGCTGTGGTGAGGTGCACATTTTGCACATCGAAATCAACCCACCAGCGGACTTTAGGTGGGGTGCACAACTTGACGATCGAAAGTGAACAATCTGTAGACTTCGGCCAGGTCTGGTCGCATTGCTGGCGCGGTGCGAGCTGTTAACATCGCTTTGGATTGGTCGGGTCACTGTGGCTGTGGCGCGGTGCGTGTTTGGAACATACAAAGTGAACCGTGCGGACTTTGGGCGCTTTGACTCGCTATTGCTGAGGGTCGGAATGCTTTGGCGCGGTGCGAAATTTGAACATGGAGAGTGGAACAATGCTCTCTAGAAGAGATGTTCATGAGTTCACCATGAGTTCCAAACTGCGATGTCTTGAAACACACGCTGGCACACGCTTGAAGGATCCCCACCTAAGGAAACATCCTTGGCTCAACTACACGTTGGGCCCACCTAAACAACAGCGGATACGGGCTCGGTGGCAAACGGCGTCCTATGGAGACATGTTGTCTTTTGAGACAACGGAAGCATGTGACAATCTGCTGCGGTCACTTTCAAATTGTCTGCACGGATTCCTGCTTGACAAAGTTGCCCCCTCATGTTAAACCAACCACTGTTTGGGGTCGCTTGGCGGGACCTGATGGGGCCTGTAGTAACATGTACGTAGTACATAATGCGATGTTTGCGTGCTGTTTTAATATTGGATGACAAAATTCACATCCACGTGATGTTGACAAAACACATTTCAAGCAATCACATCACACCCTGTAAATGCCCGCTATGCAGCAAAGCAACCGCCTTGGAATTCTTGTCCATGGACCACAAGTTGATACTGAACGCAACAGCGCCGCAGACCACCACGCCTCAGCCCGTCAAAGAGGGATGCACAAAGTGCCCGGCACCGGGCCTGCAACGATCAGAAAGAGGAAAGCCCAAATCACATCCTCAGTGTCACATTACAGTGGATTGTGCATTACATTCTCTTTGCAGAACTGACAATTCGGCCTGTTTGCTGGGAATCTGGCTCTGCACCGTCGAACTTCGCTGAAGTGCTCACTCTGCTCCAGAATGGACCCACCTACAAGCTGTTCCTCCCTTCCCCTGGCCACCAAATCAGTGCGCATGCCTACTTGCCTCTGCACCGCTGAGCTCTTTTGTCTACGTGCCCTGCTGCGCGCCTGCTCGCCTGTGCGCTTGCGCGCCTGTGCGCCTGCGCGCCTGTGTGCCTAGGTGCCTATGGGCCTGCGGGCATATGTACCTGTTGCATCACTTTGCTTTGGAGTTCGCTTGCTGCCGGAGGGCCTCTTTTAACCTGAGCATTGTCATGCCCAGCCAGATCTTGCAGGACGGAAGTGCGCGCAGCCATTGCGAAGGACTTTCAGCACTGGCCCAGCTCAACGTGCGAATTCCAGGCCGCGATTGTGTCTGTTTTGTTATGTTCTTAGCTTCTCCGGTCTGCGCCCACTCCGCGGAGAACCATCGAGGAGTCGATTTGTCAAGCTTCAGCGCAACGGCTGCCGGCGACCTTTTCACCGCTGCACTTGTCAGGCGCAAGCAACGCAGCCTGAGGCTGGGCCATTGCACTCGTTCCAGGACACCTTCTCACAGCTCACGACCCAGCCTCCACTTGGGGCTCACCTGTTCTCAACCAAGACCGCCGCATTTGGCCATCGCCTCAAAAACAATGAGAAACTCTCCGATGGGGGTCAAACCCCGGTAGGGCTCCCCCCTAAGCAAAATGCAAACAACTTGGAGGCTTTTGGACGTTCAGGGAACTTCAACTGCAGCACGAGAAGCCACTAAATATTCAGACGCTGGACAGCTGAGAGTGCGCATCAAAATCTCGCTAGGGCCAAAAACAACTGTATCGTCTGAGAATCGAGCGTGTGAAGCGTCGCCACAAAGGCATCTCCCTCCGAGCCACCAGACGCCAAGGCGGGGTCCTTGGACTAAAACTGGCTACGCTGTGGCCTTGAACTGCTCCATTTGTGAGAGGCAAAAGCCGAAACTACGCTGCCTGCAACTGCGATAAGACGCGCACTCTACACGGCGACCTTGTAGCAAAGCTGAGGTTCTAAAGATAGGCAGGATGCAAGAACTGCAGCGTGGAGTGAGCTGCTTTTCCCTTGTCTCTCTCGCTCTCTCCTTTTCTTCCTCTTCCTCTTCCTCTTCCTCTTCCTCTTCCTCTTCCTCTTCCTCTTCCTCTTCCTCTTCCTCTTCCTTATTCTCTTCTTTCACTGCTCTCTTTCTCCTTCTCTCTTGCTGTTTCTCTCCTTCTCTCTTTCTCTCTTTCTCTCTTTCTCTCTTTCTCTCTTTCTCTCTTTCTCTCTTTCACTCCTTCTCTCTTTCTCTCTTTCTCTCTTACTCTCTTTCTCTCTTTCTCTCTTTCTCTCTTTCTCCCTTTCTCTCTTTCACTCCTTCTCTCTTTCTCTCTTTCTCTCTTACTCTCTTTCTCTCTTTCTCTCTTTCTCTCTTTCTCTCTCACTCTGATTCTCTCTTTCTCTCTTTCTCTCTTTCTCTCTTTCTCTCTTTCTCTCTTTCTCTCTTTTTCTCTTTCTCTCTTACCCTCTTTCTCTCTTTCTCTCTTTCTCTCTTTCTCTCTTACTCTCTTTCTCTCTTACCCTCTTTCTCTCTTACTCTCTTTGTCTCTTTCTGTCTTTATCTCCGAACCTTTCTCGCTCTCCCTTCTTTGTCCACTCTCTCTCTCTCTCTCTCTCTCCCTCTTCACACACACACACACGCACACTCATACTTGCGGGAATGCAATCGAACAATCACACTGTTCACTCTTTCCACGCGCAACATCAAATCTCCACACATACGAGTACAGACGGCGTGTCCACAGCACCCGCCAGGGCGACGAATCTGGACACCATCCTTTCAAACACATTGGGGTGTTCGACCCCCCCCCCAGCTTGTGCATCCTCAGCAGCATAAGTTCAACATCACCAGCATCACCAGTATCCTGGGCATTATGGAAACATGAAGGGAATAAAGGTGAATGGATGGGAAATGAAGGGGGACACAAATGAGAAATGAAGGGAAAATACAAGGATAGGAAATGGAGAGAAATGAAGGGAGGGGAACTATATCCGCCGACCCCTTGTCTGCAAGGGCTTCCTCATGGTCATCATCATCAGTGGAATGATAATGATGACGGTGATGATGACGAGGATGACTATGAGGAAGATGATATGATCATTCGCGTCATCACAAGTATCATCGCAACATCCTCCGCATCTCTAGCAGTGCCTGGATGATGATGACGAGAAAGATGATGAAAAGTATCATCGTAGCATCCGCTGCATCTCCAACGAGGACGATCACAAGTATCATCGCAGCATCCCCTGCAACAGTGGATGATGATGACGATGATGATGATGACAACGGTGATGATGACGAGGATGACTCTGAGGAAAATGATAGTGGTCATTCGCGTCATCTTCGCAACATCCTCTGCATCTCTAGCAGTGCCTGGATAACTGTCGTTGCAAGTGGTGTCCCTTTTGATTTCCATAATTTCCATATGAGAAGTAAAGAAAGGATGATGATGATGATGATGATGACTATGAGGAAGATGATGAAAAGTATCAGATTCCTCGTCTTTGTTATCGTTTGCAATGCAACGGATGCTACGATGATAGTTATCCAGGCACTGCTGGACGGTCACTATCATCTTCCTCATAGCCATCCTCGTCATCATCACCGTTGTCATCATCATCATCGTCATCATCATCCACTGTTGGAGATGCAGGGGATGCTGCGATGATACTTGTCATCGTCCTCGTTGGAGCTGCAGCGGATGCTACGATGATACTTTTCATCATCTTCCTCATGGTCATGATCATCATCATCATCGTCGTCATCATCATC